ACGCGTCTTTTTTCGCGTTATGTTCTGCAATAAGCCAAACTGCCTTCGTGGAAGCACGTTGAACTAGACAATTGGCTAGCGCAGGAACTGCCGGGGTGAAGACGCGTTTTTTGTACAGTTCCCCGCGGGTTTTTGTCGCTATGCTTATGGCTAAAACAATAGAGACTGACCACCGTAACTGTGGGAAAACATCCCCTTAAAATTTCACCTAACTTTTCTGATTCCCGAGTTAGCAACTTGCCTGCAAAAAACTTTCATAGACCCGTACGTGGGAACAATGCATATCTAGAGGATGGATTTGAGCTTATTAATTCCGGCGTGGACGAAGAATATCCCCTTAAAATTCTAGCTTTTTAGCTTTTCTGGTTTCTGAGTTAGCAACTTACCCGCAAAAAATCTTGATGGGGCCGTACGTGGGGAACATGTGGGCAAGAGCGTCCATTTTGGGCATATAGATTAAATTCCCAAAGTTTCATTTTTGCAGATTTTGTAGGTTTCGAGATAAAAAATCGGTAGAGACAAATACACAGACAGACACATACACTCACACACACAGAAAACCCCTCGACAATATGAGTTTCTGTATTGCATAGATGCAAGAAAAGCATGAAAAATAACGCACACAATGACGTGTACCGTCGCAATGAATCCTAGTGTGCTTAATTAATCCTGATGGCAACTACCGACAATGGAAATAAAAACCGAAAAATTTGGATAACTGGACGGAGGGAAAGGGAAGTTTAAAATGAAAATTGACAGGTCTCCAGCGTTAACAGAATGAGATTGCTATGTTCAGTTCAAATCGATTTAGCGATCGAAAAAAGCAAGCAGACCAGGAAAAGCATAAACATCATCCTACACAATGTGACTATTCTAATCGAAATGAGCATAAAAACATACATAAATAATGCTCAGTTCGTTTGCATTAAATGGAAATATTGCCTTTTAATTACTCATAAAACAGCGTTTTCGAAACAACTACTGCAATGATGTACGCCAGGACGCTAGCTTTTCCAACGAGTCCCGCCACTTTTTCCTAAAC